TAGATTTTCTTCCTATTTTAGTATCTACAAGGCTGTATATATATGTACTATTTTCTCAGTTGAAGAAGATATCAATTTCTTCCAATTCTTGTTCTATCACATGGTATCAGAGCTGGAGACACCAATTCCAGTCTGAAAYTAATTTHTGGTTTTCTYCCCKYTRYTRCCCAAGTGAGCAGCTTTGAATTCTTTACGTTGCCCAAGTGGGCAGCTTTGAATTCTTTACGTTGCCCAAGTGAGCAGAAGCTGCGATCTCTAGGTCACCCATTCCGAGTGACATCTACATCTCACTGCCCCTACCAGTGGAAGCGGAATCCCCAGATCGGCCTACCCACCAAGTCGCATCGCTGGAAACCCAGCGAGTGAGCCACACGCGCCGCCACCAGTTTCTGCCCCTCCGTCACGCGCCGGAGCATGGAGGCGCGTGTGACAGACCCACCTTCACCAGTCTCTTTTCCGATGATCGCCTCAGCCTCGGTGTTACTCCTATGGTGTTTGTTTGCCCATCAGGAAAGTCTTTCTTCTCTGTTCTTTTTATACAGTTGATATTTCGGTGATGCCAGTTGTGATTTCTTGCTGTTTGGGTGTTGCATCTGCTGTCGATTCTGTTTAAGTGTGTTTTATTGGCTTTGCTGGTTGTCAAAAGTCTATTTTCTTGTGTTTATGATGGCGGTTGAACAGAAGAACTTGGCTATGCCTAGTGTTATCCCCATTTTGTCTAAAATCACTGAACAAAAACTAAATGGAACTAATTATTTAGACTGGAGTAAGGTTGTTTGTTTGTATTTACGGAGTATCTCTAAGGACAACCATCTAACTAAGGACCCTCCTACTGATGAGACTCGTACTGAATGGCTAAGAGTTGACGCTCAATTGTTTTTGCAAATCTGTAATTCTATTGAGATGAGTACGTCGGTCATGTCTCTTATTGTGAGTTTGTAAAAGAACTAATGGAATATTTGTTTTTTCTGTTCTCTGGTAAAGAAAATATTTCCCGTACTTTTTATGTTTGCAAGGCATTCTATCGGGCTGAACAACAGGATCAGTCTCTTCARACCTATTTCATGAATTYCAAACGCACTTATGAGGAATTGAACGCCTTGTTACCTTTCAGTACTGATATCAAAGTTCAGCAAACTCAATGTGAACAAATGGCTATTATGAGTTTTTTGGCTGGCCTTAATCCTCAATTTGATGGTGCTAAGTCACAGATAGTGGATCAACTGGCCGGTCTTGTTCTCAGAATAGTACCAGAGGTGGCAGTAATAGTGGTCGGAATGCTGGAACTCAGGACACAGAGGGAGTAGTTTGCTACTATTGTCATGAACCAGGTCACACTAAAAGGACTTGCCAGAAATTGCTAAAGAAAAACCAGAAGTCTTCTGGGTCTCAGTCA